TATATCTAGATTCTAGACATTTTATACATTTTATTTTGTGTTCTGAACACGGAACATCAAAATGCATTTATGTGCCATAGGTCTGATATATATTTAGTAATTCTGTATTGAATCTTCCCACGTACATCAGATCCTTTTAGAGTAAACCGAATATGTTATCTAACATAATAGCAACAAGTTAAAAATTACATATATAGTTGAGCTTAGCATATTCCTAACTTATTATTCATCTGTTATTCAACTGTACTGTTATCCATAAAGTAAAGAAAATAAATAATATATTAAAAAGTTGAGCATTTACCTTACCATAACTGTCTGGAGTGTTTGTGAAGTGCAATGTGAATGAACAAATATTTAAAGTGCTATGTGAATGAACTGATATTTGAATTTGAAAATTTATTGCATAAATTGTTTAGAGCACTTATATTATATCTTTAAAACAATAATCTTTTGAAACATCTCGGCGTTGTTTTATACTTCAGATAGAAATACTACCATGTCCTCAACTTCTTTCTTTAAATCGTCGTCCCATGCATCTTTTTCATCTCTTTTTTTCTTTTTCCATAGTTGCTTCATTGTGTATAAAGACCTTTATATATTCTCTAATTTCAGCTATATCTTTGCCCAAGATGACGTTTTCCCCGTTATTAAATTCCCTTCATTCGTTGGTTTATTATAAATAAAAAATCAGACTTGAGGCTTGTTTTTTAGGATTACTTTGTATGCTCCTTAAAGTTCTACGCACTAATATTTACCTATGTACCTATCCATATTTTTTTGCCTATCTTTCATTAATGTGAAATAATTTAATTAGTCTTTTCTAGTGCCATTACACTTAAAATCACTTAATGTTGCCTGATTCTTCAATATCGTGATTTATACCCAAGGACTTTTTTAACGAGATTTTTTATGATGTTTTATATGAATTAATAGGCCACCGAGCGATCTCTGGTTTAAGAAGATTTTGAGTAGTTGATTACTCAATCTTTTATACAGAGAATGCTCGTTCATTATAATAATTTAGTGTTTACTGATCTTTCCCATAGTTTATTCGCTAGTTGCATTGTATGAAAGTACTATTGGTATATTATTTGTGTTGTGAATGTTTAACTTGTTTTCACTTGGATCTAATATACCTCTGTGGATTAGCTCGTTCTAGGTTTTCAGCAGGGTTTTATTTATTTGGTGGTTTATAACTATTAGTGAATATCCCTTAACTACAAATGTTTTAGCTAAATTCTTCAATTCACTCACCAGATTGGTTTCTCCGGAGATTCTATTGTATCTAAGAGCTTGGCTATAAATGATATCTATCTTTTGGTGTTTTGGTTGATTGGAATGGAAATTTAATAGGGCCAAGGTATCGGTGGGTTTTTTATAAAGCCGCGAGGAAAAGGTTTTATCAATACTGATCTCCAGTATTAAACTCATGAAGTATATTGTTATAGGTGAGCTGTTAAATGTAAATTTTTTGCTTTTGTGAGCTTTATTGATATAGTTTTTGTGAGATCATTTAAATTTTTGGTGGTACCATCAAAATTCATAAGTATGTCGTCAATAAATCTTTTATATACAATAAAATTTCTTTTAAATTTTACACAATTTTTTGTTATCTTATACACACTAAAAAAGATGTTGGCGTACGGGGTGGGGGTGGTGGTGGAGTCATTACCATGCCTATGGGGTTCTAAATTTTTGTCAGGTGTTTCGAGACTTAAACATAAATGTGCTATTTTTTTAGTTAGAAAATAGACTAAGTTTAAAGTGTTAGGAACGTTAGCTAAAAGTATTAATGAACTTTTTTAAACTTTATACTTTGAACATTTTTGAACTTTACAAATAATTTTTTCCTGTTTTTAACTATTATTGAGTAAATAGAACAACTAATGATAGCAACAAACAAATAATGATAAACATCTTGCTATCTCGGAGTATTTGTTTGTTATTTGAGACCTCTGACTTGTTTTTTGGAAGTGTTTGCTTGTTTATTTATATTAAGTGTACTTTATTAAGTGTACCTTTATATTAATTTATCATTACTGCTTCCATGATATTTTGGTATGTAATTTAGCATGATATTGTTGTTTATGTACTCAAATTATTTATTTTTCTTTTTAAAATACTGTTTATTGAATTTTTTTTATTATAGTTTTTGCTATATACTACTTGATACTTTTTATTATAATTTTTGTTGTATACATAGTTGCTAATGTAACCCATTAATAACACATTAATAACAGACTATATAAAAATGCATAAAATGTAAAGATATTAGTACTAAAAAAAAAATGTTTTCTAAATTTAAATTTTATAGAAACAGAGTCAGCAGTCTACTAAAAATTAGTAAAAAATTCTATTACACAGTCTATTTTATTAAAAACTTAAAAGGGATAAAAGAAATCAATAATATAAAACCTTCCTCATATAATTCAACTTTCAAACTTAAATTGAAAGAAAATATTATCACAGATCAAACTACTAATTTGATCTTTTTTGTAACTACCTAAAACAAACTCATTTACACTTTAAAACAAAATCATACTTTCAACATCCCAACTTACGGACTATATCAACTCTCCAAATTCAAAGTTGTTCTTTATTGATCCTGTCAAAGAGAATGAAATCTCCAATCTTATTAAAACCACCCATAGAACTGGAAAAACTTTAAGTTCTTATAGTCTTCCTACATTCCTTCTTAAACTTTTTCCAGACATAACGTCTAAACCTCTAAGTATTATTAAAAATATCTCATTTCAAAACGGTTTGTACCCAGATGCTTTCAAAGCTGCTATAGTCATTCCGATATTTCAAAAAAGTTTTACAATAAAAAAAACTTTTCGATACAGTAGATCATTCTATCCTACTCAAGAAATTAGAATATTATTGAATCAGAGGAAAACCTCTTCAATGATTTACTTCCTATCTTCACAACAGATCTCAGTTTGTCTCAGTCAATGACTTAATATTTATTCAAATAAATTATTTCAACGGTGTCCCTCAAGGCTCAGTACAAGAAACACTACTTTTTCTTCTTTATATTAACGACCTCAAAAACTCAATTAAGTTTGCAACTCGTTATCACTTTGCTGATGATACTAACTTGCTCATTATCAACAAATCTTCAAAAAAATTAACAAATACATTAATCATGATCTTGCCAGTTTAGTTCAGTGGCTTTGCTCAAATAAGCTTTCTCTCAACTTTTTCAAAACTGAACTGGCCGTATTCAAATCTAATACAGGAATAATCAAAAAAAATCTAACTTTAGATTAAGTGGCCGTAAAATCATTCCTGTAAACTCTATTAAATATCTTGGAATTATATTTGATTCCAACCTATTGTATGTGTCCATTCTTAAAGACTTTAAATTGAGCAGATCAAATGGAATGCTGGCAAAAGTTCGCCATTATGTCAATCTGGAAACAATATTAAATATATACCTTGCCATTTTTGGTTCACATATGCAACATGCTTGTCAAATATGGGGACAACAGGAAACAGGAAACTCAACAGGAAACAGTTTAAAAATTAACTCATCTTTAAAACAAAGCTTTGAAAATAACACATTTTAAGAATATTAAATTCAATCCTAATGTGCTTTATCTAACTTCTAAGATCATTAAACTATGTAACCTTGTTCAATTCTGGAATTGCAATTTTGTCTGGAATCACCAACAACGTACCTTTTACCTTCAACAATTTCTTCCGAAAAAATACAAATAACCGTTTCTATTTTCGATCAATTGGTAATCTGAATTTTGCAGTCTTAAAACATCGTTCTACTACTTATGGATATAAATCCATAAAAAACCAAAGCATAAAATCTTGGAATAACTTTCCCTATAACCTAAAAGCTCTTCATTCAATCTATGTTTTTAAGAGTAACCTATTCTATTCTTTCCTAATCAAATACAGTTAATAAATACAAAGATATATATTTGTGTTTAAGTGTTTGTGATAAGCGCATCTGAATAAGTAATGAGTGTATATGTATATATGTGTATATGTATGCATGGATATGTATGTCTGTATATATTTATATGTGTATGTATGTGTGAATGTGTATTTAAGTATACATATAGATATATATACATATATATATATATATATATATATATATATATATATATATATATATATATATATATATATATATATATATATATATACATAAATATGTGTTTATGTTTGTGTATGTGAATGTTATGTGTATGTTATGTATGTGTGTATGTATTTTTACGTGAGTGTATTTACGTATATTTGTGTATAGTATATATGAATCTACATATATGGGTGTATATTAAGTTTGTATACAATTAATGTATACATACCTGTATTGAATACTGGGAGATTTAAGTATATGTGTTCATATATATTTGTGAACGTAAGTGTGCATGTGTGTTTGTATGTGTGTATTTGTATGTGTCTGTATATGTGTGTGACTAATACTAAATTATTTTTATTTTTTTATGGTTATTGTAATTATTATTGTAATTATTTACTTTTTTCATTATAATGTTATTATTTTTAGAACTACAACTTTTATTATAATCGTTATTAGTATTTTTACTTACTCAATTTTTAATGTTCGTTTTGTTACTGTTGTAGATGATTATTATTACTATTAGCATTAATAATTATACTTATTAGCTTTCATTTGCAAAGTTTTTTCTTAAGAATAATACATGTACTGTTTGTAAACTTAATTGAATTTCACAACTATTTCAGAATATATGAATTGATTTATTAATTGATTGATAATCAATAAAGTGATGTAGCTATGTTAAACAACACAACAAGAATAAATAAATTTAAACGCACCATAACAGGTTTAGCAAATACCTTTTACAAAATGACACTTTACTGAAAACAAGCATTCATTAAAGTATTAGGATACAAAACCGAAGTTTCAATTTTTCAATTTATAAAATAGTTTAAAAGTTTTTTTATTTAAACTAAAAAAAGTTAAAAAAGTTTAATATAAACATGTTTATATTTAGCAAAAGAAAAAAAAAATGGAAAACTTAGATGAGGAGAATTTCGGTGGGTATGATGCGTATTTTATAAATGAACTTTTAGACAATCATGAATGTCCTGTGTGTCAAATGGCTCTTCGTGAACCAATTCAAACACAATGTGGTCACCGACTTTGCTTGTCATGCGCAGAAGAAATGAGAAAAAGGTATTTACTTTTTTAGAGTTAAATTGCAAATAATGTGACATGCATATGAAAATACATTTAATAGACTACATATTTCCGAGCTAGTATACATACACTTGACCAAAATATAAAAAACTAATGTGAATGCTGCATGCTTTTTTTTTATTCGACGTAAACCCAACGTTGGTCTCATATCAACTATGGATTTTATAATTACTGACGCAAATAAAAAAGCAGCTTGATTTGTAATATTAATGAAATGTAAGATTAATTATTGCAAAAGTTGATTTTTTTTACAAAATAAACATAACCTTGATCCAATATGTTTAACCCAATATTAATTTTAATATAAATGGATTTCTTTTTATTGAATGTATAAAATATATTTTGGTTGTAAAAAGTTCAAGTGTATTTTTTAGTAATTATTTGATTTCTTTTTTTATTAGTACTTTAGTATTTTAATTGTAATTAAGCACTAAGTGGTTTTTCATGTCAATTTTTGTGGATAGTTACCTTATATAAATTTATTTAAAACTATTGTAAAGATAAGTTGAATTCAGGAAAAAAAAGTTATTCGGAATAAAATGAAACTTTTTTTTCATGAAAAAAAAATTACAAGCTCACCGGCCATAGATTTAAGTATGAAAGTATTTGATATATTTCAAACGTATGATAGAACTTATTTATAAATAACTTATTTATAAATAACTTGATTGGTTTATTTCAAAAAAAATAGTAATTAAAATTACACTGTCGAAATTAGGTATACTTTTTGAAAACCACTTTACACAATATTTCGTTTCAATGTGAGCTGTAAAAAAATTAAATTTAACTGTTAGTTTTAAATTTTATAGCTAACACATACGCTATTTTTAATATGTTATAAAACATTTACGATTCCTCCCAACACTCCTACTGAACATTAGCTGTAGATGAACATTAACATTTAAAATATCATTAAAATAAATCATTAAAAAAACTAAATACTAAAAAAAAATTTAATTTTTTTCATTTAGTATCTTTATATAATTTTTTTATATTTATTTTAAAATTTTTTTATTTATTTATATGTAAAAAACAACACGAAATCCTTCAATAAACATCGTTTGCCCCTAGACAAAGCTGTGCTTACACACACACAGATTGATCCTTACGATAAAGTTCACCAATAAAACTGCACAAAATAAGTATCTGAAAAGCAAAATTAACACATTTTTCAACAAAATAAAACATAAAACTAGAACTGCAAATGAAAAATCTAATAAAATTTAAATAGATTTTTGGCTAAACCATTCCCTTTAAACAACTAGCCCAGTGTATACTAGAAAAAGTCTAAGTTCAGATGCTTTCCATTTTTTAATATCTAATTAAGACCTTGGTTTTCTTGAAATATTTCTTGAAATGTAATGACATATCTAGAACAATCCATCAGGTAAAGTATTGACTGTATTCTTAGACAATTTACAACATTTGAGCAACTTAACAATAAGTTAATGAGTCTTCGCATACCCCTAAGTATGCTAGATGCACAAAGTCTAAAGGAAATATTGTCACCATGTCAAAGTTTAATTCAATTTAACACACCACTAAGATGTTCAGAATGCTTTAATAACAAAAAATCTGAATCAGCGCTTAAAATTAGTGAAATACATGGAAAAATTTTCTTGCAAGCCACTCTCCTTTCTAAACACAATGGTCACATCAGTTATAACCATTGTGTCCCTTAATACACTTAACATATGCTCTAGCTGGTGTATAACATATGTCACACCGCTCTCCTTTCTAAACACAACGCTCACATCAGTTGTAACCATTGTGTCCCTTAATACACTTAACACATGCTCTAGCTGGTGCATCACATAGGATTACAGTAAGATTGATTTTAAACTTAATTTTTTCATAAATAAAACCATCTTTTGCAAGAACTTTGAAGTCTACCAAAAAATTATATAAATAATTAAGGTGACCAACTATACTCATTTACTGAGTTTAGTACTCTTTTTACACAAACCGTAATCTTTTCAAATCATGTTCTCTTAAAGTACTCATTTGTATAATTTTGAATTCATTTGTCTTTCTGAAAAAATTTTGTATTATTTTATTAGATTATTTCATTTTAATTATATTAACTAAATATTTAAAACTATTTTGACAGTGATTTGAATTTCTCAATTGTGCCTTTTTCAGCACAATTGAGAGGCCGCATTATGTACCTGGAAAGATAATAAGATACTAAAGACCTCTTTTTCTAATAACGTCAAAATTACATTTGTGAAAAGTGATAGATATATATATCTCTGTAATATTTATGTAAGTTATTCTTAGGCTAAACTTTGATGTGCAGTATGTACGGCATGCTTGACAGTCTTGACCCATGCGTAGTATGTACGGCAAAGTTTTTTTTATCCATTTATTTAATTAAATAAAAGGATAAAAAAATTTTTCTGTACATACTACGCATGCTCTTATGGTTAATTAACCATAAAATCAAAAAATTACCAGTTTATGTATCATTTACAAATTTAGGTTTGGTGTCACTAATATTATAAACTAGTCAAATATAAAAAAGCAAAACAAAGGCAAATTTAAATTAAAAAATATATACATACACTACTACATACAATATTAAAGTCTATATTAAAGCCTATAAACTGATCGTTTTGAAAGATTCCAATCCCGGAATAACAAATAATTTTTTAAAAGAAGTTCAAATCTTTTATAAAATTTGCTTTGAATATATCGAAGAATGGATAATGAACTTTAGAGCATTGAATTGTTTCAAATGGACCTTTATAAATATTAAAATTGAATGGAAAGAAGTTTCTTCAGCAGTCGAATTTGTAATGAAGGAAGAACAGGTATTCTTATTGATGACAATATTCTCTTTGAAAAAATACGAAGAGTAAATTTATATTTATATAAAGAAAAATTGAAGAAATGGAACAATGAGAAAATAGAACTTGACAAAAGATGGGTAGAAATCTTTCGGCGTTTTAGAGTAGAAAATATCCCACATAAAAATTTAAAAGTTTTAATAGAAATTTCTTTATGTTGTCTAGGCACTAATGCTGCTGTTGAAAGGGTATTTTTACAAAGGAATGATTATTAAAGCAGCAACAAGATTCAACTTTCTGTAAAAACATTATTTGCCGTCTTAACAGTCAAATTTTTTTATGCAAAATGAAAGTTGTTTGGATGTGGCTACATTATTTGACGAACATCCTCATTTAGAAAAAAAAATTCACTTTGAAGAAAAATATGTCTTTAAAATAAAGTTTTTATCATTTTTTCTTTTTTATTTTAACTTATGAAATACTTGCAAAGTGTAGTCTTTTTGAACAAAAAATGGTAGGTCCCATAGATTTTGAACGAAAAATGGTAGGTCCCAAGATAATTAAAAATGGAATTTTTGGGCTCCGCTTTTTAAACAAATCTATAAAAACACAATTTGGGTCCCTAAAATTGTGAGTCCTAGGCCTAGGCTCTGACGTCGCCATTTATAAATAGCAACAACTTTTGGCAAATTTTATCACTATTTTAAATTTTTATTGAATAAATTCCTATATGTTTTTATATAAAATTTTTATGTAGTATTATTCTTTTTTACTATCAGCTATCAAGCTGATTGAACTGACTTGATCAGCTTTAGCTTTAATCTGAAGCTAATGAGTTTAAAGCTGAAGCTGAAATATCAGCTGCAACCCTTACTTTATAGACAACATACGAAATGTGATGTATATACATTATAATAATACATGTGTTGTTTTTTTACTTAAATAATAATTTTATTCGTTTATATTACATTTTTTTTAATACTTGTATTTTTTTATTTATTTATTACTTAGAAAATATTGACATATGCCTAACTTTCTATAGATAAAAATAATATTTTCTTACATTACTCTAATCGAGGTAATAAACAAGAGTAATATTTACTCCAATCATTATATTAGTCCCCCAAAGTTCATACAATTCTATTATACATAAGTCTCTTACTATTTCTAATAATAAAAAGTTATTACCATAATTATTATAATTATTTACTAACCTGTTATTACTAACATTTATCATAAATACATTCTGGTTGTTAAAGTCACTTTTACTCATATCAGTATGCAAATATTGTCAACGAACAGAGTGCACCATGCAGAAATATTCTTGAACATACTGCAAAATACAAGATATACAAAAGATACATATCATATAAGACCTATTACCAGGAACTTAACATTTTATAGTATTTAACTTACTATAACTCAATTATAATAAGTAAGCATATTGTTATAATCTATATAATAACTATTATCTTTTTTTAGTTATTGATATTTATGTTAAAGTTATCAATTTAAATTAAAGTTTTATAACTAAAGTTTGAATGCAAAAGTTCATATCAATAAAAGTTTTTATCAGTATTAGAAACATAAGTATTAAACTGCAAGTATTTACAAGTATAGGTATTGTAAGTATAAGTTATTATATGTATATTATGAAATTATTGTTAATATTACAAGTGTACAATTTTAAATCAAGTCAAAAAATATCAATGATTAAAGGTTGATGCATAACAATAAAGCCATTTTTTTTCATTTAAACATGTAAATATCTCTTTATTTATATCTGATGGTGGGTAAACTTTGTTAACAACAGTCATTTTGCTTGCACAAAATATAGAAAAATCAATAGAAAAGAGTGGATCTGTAAAAACGATTCAAAAACTTTCATTTCCCTAAATGTAACCTATCCATCACATTCCATTTGCCTGTTTGCTCTTTTTAAATGTTTATGACTAAACCAGTATTTTGATTAAACTCAAACTATAAAATTAAGCAAATATGCTTAATTTTATTACCATATGGGACCCTTCTTGAAACCAAAACACTTACCCGTCAAAATCCCGTTCCCGTAAGTAGAGACAAAAACCATACGGTACCCGTTTGTCAATGTTGGCTAGGAAAGGTCCCAACCAATTAATTAACAAAGTTTTAATTTAAAAAAAATCTAACCCTGACTACAATATGCAAGAGCAGAACCCAAAAACAAACTAAAAGAGTGCCGCTAATGATTAAGACGACTTGGTGAAGTGGGGAGTATCTGCTTACGTGGGCAACATTTTTGTCAATGAGATTAAAGTAAGTCTCGATTTTTTAAAAAGACATTTCGAAAAATTTAATTTGAAGAGTAAGAAATGGAAACAGATTTGTTGTAATAGGGTTCGTGTATTGAGGTTGTGTGTGAGCGAGGTTGATGGTAAGCTTATGTAATCCAGATGGAAACAATTTGAAGTTTTTTGAAGTAATTTCAAAAAATTTAAACAGAAGAATTGTGTTTTGCATTTGTGAGCAGAAAAATTTGAAAGTTGCAGGTCTTCCCAATAGTATCTTATTTTAGTTTTAACTTTGTACATTTAGTTTATCATAAAACATTAACTGATTAACCCTACTATGCCGTCGCTAATCAACTTACACTTGTAACGTTGGGGTCCATACGGACCCCAGTTAAATAATTATGTTTTTAATAAAATAAATTGTTCCTTAAAAAGATTAGCGAAGATAATTTTATTCTGTTTTTCCAAAATTAATACATTTCTTTGTTATTCACAAAAAAAAAAATTTAAATGTTTATATATATATATGTATATATATATATATATATATATATATATATATATATATATATAAATTTAAATATATATATAAAAAGTTGAAAAGCAGTATTTATCAATTCTGTCATACGTATTGCATATGGTGTAAATTCTATTTTTTTACATGATCAATTTCATTTTGTGATGCAAATTAGTTAGAACTGTTTAGTCTTTGTTTTTGCCATATTTTTTATACATATTACTTTCTTTATACATACATATTACTTTTTGGGCACTTATAAAAATTTGTTATATAGCAAACTTCGACTTCAGTTTATTCTATTACATTAGTTTTATATGGATTTATTTCCTCAGCTATATCATTATGTTACTTCAACCTCTTTCTCTTTATTAGCACCAGATATTAACTCTACTTCACTTAATTGATCTTTATTAAGAAATGCAAACAATAGTTATTGTTTGCATTGCTTGTTCAGTAGTGTATCTATAGCCTGTTCAGCAGTGTATCTTATACAAACTCTTTTTTTTTTAGCCATTATTTCTAATATTTGTTATGAAATTTAAATTTATCTAATTTATCTGAAAATATCAAAGAAAAAGATTGAATAAGTTTCAACTAAAAAAAATAAAAACAGTTTTTAATAGCATTAGTTTTGAAATACTATACATTTTATAAGAAAAAATATGTTGGGGTCCATATGGACCCCAACATCATAGACGTATATTTTAAAAATAACTATAAAAAGAAGCAATGTCCAAAAACAAATTTTTGAGTCTTTGTACATTTTGTTATATTTAACAGATACATGAAATTTTGAAAAAAAATACTGACTACATAAATATATAATGCAAAAACAATAGTAGGGTTAAGTGAGTTATAATTATGGAATTTAAATCCGATAGCTGGTGTAAAACATTTTTCCGCGTATTTTTATACATAACTAAACGTAATTAACTAATTTTTTAAATTTTATAATTTTTTAGACATGTTTGTGTCCTGTAAAAATGGGTAGTTTTACATAAAAACCATATATTTAGAAAAAAAACGTGGTTGAAACTTTTTTAAGTTCAGATAGACACGTATAGAAAGATTAATATAGCGCTAAAAAAAAAATTTTTTTTACCTTTACATTTTTTTGTAACTCTACTAAAAATGGCGTCTTCAAAGCGGTGTATGCTGATTTTATAGTATAATGCAGCTAATAATAATATATAAAATATAATCAAACAAAGATAATACATATTCAAACTGTCACTAGCTAATCATGTAATCAAACGCACTGTCACTTGTTACTTAAATCACATATTGCTTCACCAGTATTTTAAAATAAATAACTGTCCTTATGAGCCCAAGTTGTACATTTAAAACTACTTTTCTCCTAGCAGCCTTACTTCATAATCTATTAAAAACATAATATTCAACACTTAAATTTTCAACCCTTTCTTTACCCATTCCTTACCCACATTTATTTTCTATTTTTTGTTCTTTTATTTTTTTAATTTTTTAGAGGAATCAAATTTTAATTTTCTGTAATGTGATATTGTTATTATCTGTGATTCTTCTATCATTTGTGATGGTAAAGTAAGCTATTACTGGAATATATAGCTAGAATAGCTAAAGTAATAAAAAAGCGTTTACTATATTAAAATTATTAATTACTCAATTTCCTGACAACAATTGAAAAAGGGCTTGACTTAACTTGTACTTCAATTTAATCAGAATATAAGATGTTTTTAGACAAGTCTTCCCAGGAAACTTGTGCGGTTTTTCGTTTTGTATGTCCACACATGAGTATAATATTTTAGACAATTAGGTCACGGCCGATTGCAAGTTCTTTAGGCGTTGCGTAAAAAACTAAGTTTCAAAAACAAAGAAAGCTAATCTAACAAAAAAATGAATTTAATATAAATTTAAATGAAAAAAAAATAAAAATAATTTAAATAATTTTTGCACTGTTTTTGTTTTTATTTCTTTGGAGTGGTTGTTGTTCGTCATCGGCAACAAAATTTTTTAAAGCAAAAAAAAAAAAAAGATGAACTTTTTAAGTTGACATGAAAAAAAATGATTTTTCTACATTTTATTTGTTTTTTTTTTGTGATGGTAAAAAGAAAAACGAAAATATAAAATTCTCTCTGTTTGTAAAAAAAACAATATGATATGTATTTTGTTTTAAATGGCTATGTAATAATTGGATTTCAGTGAGTCTAGATCAGTGATTCAAACTTTTTTTTAATATTAGTACATCTTAAAATATCTATTTAAATGATTTTGTAAGTGTAATTCATATTTTTATATTTTTGATTTTTATTCATATATAAAAGAAGAAAACTTGAAGTTAGCTAATCCTAATATGTTGGATACAGTTGTAAATGGCACTAAATTAACTGCACATAATAACTTGTATATTTTCATACAGCATTTTTGACAAAGGAAGAATATGCGAAAGCTCTAAAATTCTTTTTGAATAAAATAACAAACAATGGCTACGAAATGAACCGATAACGGTTCAATTTGTAATTAATAAGAATATTCTTCTCACTGCCTTCAATGATAAAGATAACTCTGCTCTCATTTAGCTGTAGTTTCTGGCAGATCCAAGGTGAAGTTTGATTCTTCAATTAATAAAACAAAAAAAAACAAAAAATTAGCGCCAATAGTTGCATTTTTTTCATTTTCTTAACTATTCTTTGCAACGGATTGTAATTTGCTCCAAGTTGGTAAAGAAAAAGAAGCTATAGCTGCTTTACAATTATTAGAATATATAAGTTTTTGTATGAAAAATAATTTTAAACCAAAATTTTCGTTTACAAAATAAAAACATATACAAAAAAAAGTTCAGGCTTTACGTTTTTTATGATATGAATTATGTATTGGTTTCTTGAAATGATAAAAAGAGCCCTAGAACTGCCTAAAAACACCTAAATTTAGTAATTGAATATGTTTTTAATTTTTTAAATGAATATAATCATTTTTAATCAGAATGCTACATTATTATTAGTGTTGTTTATAACTTGCATGTTTTATGAAATTTAAAATGGTACTTAATTGTGATACCTGGAATACGGCTGCCAGGTATTCCAGGTATCACAATCAAGCAAATAAAATATACCGTTACATTTGTAGTATAAGAATCCTTTACGTAGTAAATATGGGAGTCATCAGATAAAGTTATTACTTAAGACCAGTTTAATTTGATTATGGTTAAAAAAATATGTGGTTTGTAAGCAATTTAGTTATCTATAGCAACCCAAAACTAAAACTAATTTCACCATTGAAACCGTAATTCTCAAATTAGTAAACAGTGCAAAAATGAGTCTCAAATCTTTTTTATATGAGGAGATTTTAGTTTTGTCCAGTAAAAGTGAATTCTGGTCCACTACGCATTGCATTACTTTTTGTATATTTTTCAAAACTTAAATATTAACTTAGAAATCCTTACCTTGATAAAATCTTTCATTTAATACCGTTTTTTTTTCTTTTAAAACAACTTTTCAAAATATGCAATTGAAATTAGTAATTTCTGAAGTGGTGCAAAAGCGTATTTTTGTTTTGCATATGCATTTTTTATATTTTTGTAAAATTAATTATTTTGTAAAAGTTTTATCTTTTTTTTTTCTTTTTTAGAAATAAGGGAGTCTTAATTTGTCCATTAGACAATAGTGTTTTAAATCCTAGCAAAGTAACTATTTTTAACTTTTATTAATTTTAATTTTTTAAATCATCTTATATAACTTAGTGTAATTATATCGAAAAATCTATTTTTTGTACCTAAAAATATATCTGTTACTAACAATTGATAAAATTTTTTCTCATAGATTTTTCCGGATAAAGCTATTGAAAGAGCTATTATGCAATTAAAGGTTAAATGTAGTAATGTTATTAATGGTTGTGAATGGACCGGAGAACTAAAAATACTGAATGTATGTTATTTAAATTTTATTTAAAAATATCTAATACAACAATTTTACTATATCTCGGTTTTGAAAGGCCTACAAACATTCTTCATTTAAGTTTTTTTTAGTATTACTACATTTACTATTTGAAGAGCGTTTTGCTAAAGCAAAAGTATTTATTTCATTGTTTTAAAAAAAAATCTTTATTCCTGGCAAAGTATGTTTTGAAAATCAAAAGTTTTTTATTCGTAAACAAAAATGATTAAGAGTTTTTTTATTCATACTGACATTGTTAGGGTTCGTTTTTTTAGTCAAAAATCCGAATCTTTGAAATTTTGGGAACAATAGCTTAGTTCCAATTTAGAAACTCGCTCTTCACTTATAAATGGAATTATAAAATATAAGTAATTATATAACAGTTTAACTGAGGCAGGCGAAAGTTTTTTGATTAACTATGGTATGCTTACTTGATTTATTAAGACAAGTTTTTATATGCAATAAAATATAAAAGGATAGATGTTTCGATTCATATCTAAACCGTTTAGCTTGTTTTTTAAACTTAAATTAACCCTAATAAAATTTTATTGCATGTTAAAATTATTTGTTAAATGTTTTAACCAATAATTTTTCAAAATGCAATAAAAAAAAGTGATGGTTTCTTAGATAACTTTGTAAAGATAATTTAAAAAAATGCTACTTGGCTGTATTTATACAACAAGGTTATTCAGAAAATTCTTGTTATTTCAAGGTAAATTAAATTATTTTTTTTAAGGAACATTTGGGATCTTGTGAATATCAAACACTAAAATGTCTTAATAAACCGTGTTCTTCTTCACTTTTGCGTAAGAAACTAAACGAACACATGGAAAAACATTGCATTTATCGTTTGGTTACCTGTCATCATTGCAAACAGAAGATTATTTTTAGTGAGATGCAAGTAAAAACCATAATTTATTTTATTTCGTTTTTTGTTCTGCTAATATTTATGCTTTAAAAAAAAAATTATCTTTAATTTAATCTAAAATCAACTTTCACACGCACGCACACAAACACACACACACACACACACACACGCACACACAAACACACAAACACACACTCAAACACACAATTTTTGAGCTTTTTACACATTTTCTGGTATTTTTACTTGATGCAGTTAAGGCGATTTTAAAATATTACAGCATCTGTATGATATTTTGCTGATCACGACATCCTTTTATTAAATAAACAGACCCCTGAACTATGACAAGAAGAAAAAAAAAAGTGTAGGAGTTTGTAAATTTTGTGGAAACATAAAATAAAAGTGCTTTCGGCGAAAAAAATGTGTATATATATATATATATATATATATATATATATATATATATATATATATATATATATATATATATATATATATATATATATATATATATATATATATATATATATATATATATATATATATATATATATATATATGTATGTATATATATATATATATATATATATATATATATATATATATATATATATATATATATATATATATATATATATATATATATATATATATATATATATATATATATATATATATATATATATATATATATATATATATATATATATGTATATGTATACATATTTGTATATATAAATAAAACTTGGGACAAATTTTAATTGCATTTACTATGTAATTTATTTCTAATAATGCAATTATAATATAATTAAAATTATAATTGCATTTACTATGTAATTTTATTTGAAAAAGGATTTTACAATCTATTTAAATTTAATTTAATTAGGTTAAAATATTATTTTAATATTGAAAATACAATGGTCAAAATAAAAGACCTCAAAGAAATGATGAAAATTTTTTTTTCAAAAAAATCGAGTAAAAGGTAAAGTGTTTGTTGCTAAGCAGTTTATGGAATTGGGTTTACCCAGATCAACTGATTACAATAAAATCGTAAAATTAGAAAATTATTCTTTAAAAAGAAAAGTTAGAAGTAGTCGATTTTCCTACTTTACTAAAGAAGCTACTAAAGAAAATATTCCTAATATTGCTGCATTTTTTGAAAATAAATCAGGGGGCTCCCAAAAGTGTTTAACTGTAGTCAAAATCGAATTTCCCAAGTATTATAACAATGACTAAAATTTTAACTTTCAAAAAAAAATTGTCTAGATCGTAGCTGTCAGCAGAAGAAAGCTATGCCGCAAATTAACAGTTTTCATGAGACAAATCAATGAAAGTTCCATAAGTCTAAATTAATTTAATCATTTATTAAATAAATACGTCGATTGGAATCTTGTACTGCAATCACAAGATGTAAATAATGCTTATGATTTATTTCTAAACCAACCTCCTAAAATGTATGATAAGGCATTTCCTTTAAAAGTGAAAGTAATAAACTCAAAGTCGGTTGTATCCCCATGGATGACCAAAGGCCTACTAAAATCATCAAGGAAAAAACAAAAATGGTATAATAAATATTTAAAAAACAAAACTTATAAAAATGAAACTAATTACAAAAATTATAAAAATTTATTTGAAAAAACTAAAAAACGATCAAAAGTAAATTTCTATGCTAAACTGCTTGAAAAAAACAAAGGAAACCCTCAAAAAATGTGGAGTGTTATTAGAAACTTAATTAGGAAAAATAAAATTGAAAAAATTAACTTACCGCAAAAACTTATTATTGAGGGAAAAATGATTTATCATAAAGAAGTTATTATTGAGAAATTAAACAATTTTTTTCTTGTTGTTGGCCCAAACCTACCAGCGAAAATTCCAGTTGGTCGAAAAAAATTTGATTCATATCTTGCAACAACTGATTGAATTATGGAAGAACCGATTTTAACCAAAAGTAAACTACATACTGCTTTTAATAGTCTGAAAAAAAATAAAAGTGCAGGTATGGATCAAATTAATGTTAATGTAATTAAATCTGTTTTTGATATTATCGAACCCTCATTATTCAATAATTTTAATCTCTCCCCTAAATCAGGTCATATTTCAGATAAATTAAATATTGCAAAAATAACACCTATTTTCAAATCTGGCGATGAGACCAATATTTCAAATTACAGACCAATCTCAGTCTTACTCTGCTATTCTAAACTAATTGAACGCATTATGTACAACACACTTTATAAATATCTATCTGAAAAAAAGATTTTATATAATAATCAACACGGTTTTGAAAAAAATCATTCTACTGACCAAGCAATAATTGAATTGGTTAAGCATATATCAAATGGATTTAATAATGATTGCTGAATTATTGAATAATTAATACGTATTTGAAAAAAATCATTCTACTGACCATGCAATAATTGAATTGGTTAAGCATATATCAAATGGGTTTAATAGTGATTGCTATACAATAGGGTTTTTTATTGATTTATCCAAACTTTCGACACAATAAATTATGAAATTTTTTTGAAAAAATTAGAAAACTATGGTAAACTTTCTTTAGCTTTTATTAAAATGGTTTCAAACCATTTGTATAAAATATAACGAAAATAAAGTTGTCTTTTTCGTTCATATTTTTGATGATATTAAATAATCAGCTGAAATACTTATGTTTACATATATTTTTTTTAATTAAACAACGCATTTTTTTTTTGTGTTTTTATAACTTTCATGATTTTCTGTCGTTTTTACTTTTTTTATTTTTAAAATTATTTTTCTGGAAGATTTGTTAGCAACAAATTATTTTATTGCTGAAGTAATTTTGTTTTTGTTTTTGTATTTATAGTGTCTTTTTTTTTCTTTTATCATTTATTGTGCATGTAAACTTTTGTGCGACGGGGCTCGGTGATAAGACAACCTGGCTTCTTCTTGCTCCGGCTAGGATTTTCTTTTATTGTAATTTCATTTTTGTAATATTTATCAACGGCAAAATAAATAAATAAGAAAAAATTAAGAAAAAAGCGTCCTATATGTCTAACCCTAGATGCCTAAAGGCAATCATCGGCCGTGTAATACAAAATCAAGAAATAATAAAACAGTTAAAATATAAAGTTACATTGATGTGCTCCGTCGTCATAACAACAAACAACCAAAAGAAAAAAGAAAAAGGTATCACCTTGGCATATTCAGATTGTTTAAGTCCAGTCTTGGGTTTACTTTGATTATCTGCGGGTGACATCGTTCAGTTTTCGTGGGATGATTTTAAAACGTTGTTTTTTAATATAGCGGTGACTTCTACACTTAAAAAGCCCGACAAGAAAGTTTTTTTAGCAATTATTAATTTTTCAAATATATATCATGAGTTCATAACATGCTATGAATTATCATATAATACAATGAGTTCATAACAAACCATATTATTTATTGTTCAAATCATAAATATTTCGAATTATTAATCTACCCGACAAACTAATTCTGTTGTTACGACCCATCAAAAAGCCATTAAATACAAACCGTTAAGTATTACCGAATTTCCGACATTTAAGAGTTTTTTGTTGTGAGAAATGACAAAACCTCGTTTGGTCATTTCTCACAACAAAAATTTTCTGCCTGACCTTTTAGATAAAATTACGGATTAATGGTAGAATACAATATCAATGTCGTTTAGGTCACGTATAACTAGAAGAGTTGTTACTCTTGTTTTGCTTATGTTATCATATATTCATCTTTTAGTAAAAGGACAATTTAAGTCAACCTCCATATAGTCGTCAATAATATTTTTTTCAACTTTGCACAACTTTTGCTAAGTATTATTCAGTTAAGACAACAACTTTTCAAAAAAAAAATTATTTAAAAGAAAGGTCTAGAAGTTAAGTCGAACTACCTTAAAAATTTCGACTGGCCTTGAACAACCTGAGTAATTCTGTTAACATTTTTTTATCTTACTTTAATAGTACTTCTATAAAAAATTTTGTGCAATTTGATTAGAAATTAAAATTTTAAAACTAAAACTAAAAACAACTAAAAAAATAAAATAGTTTTGAATTAAATTGGTATTTTTTTTGTTTTTTTGTTTTTTTGTTTTGTTTAGTTTTGTGCTTCAATACATTTTAAGCAACATTTTGGTATAAAATATAAAGTTTAAAAGATAAGAATAAAATAAAGTTGAATGACAATATTAACCGATAAAATATAAAAGAACTTGGGGAGTGTAGAAGACCGTTAGGTCTTGTCGTCTAGAACCGTTAACATGATAATTTCTATTAATTAAAAGTTATTCTGATAATACTATTTTATTTTATTAACATTTGGCTGTATGCGCGTGTAAAAAAACAAAAATTATTCAGGCAAGACTCGAAGCTGCAACTTCAGTTTACGAAGTCGACGACTTTACTAAATAAGTTAAACGTGCATTTAAATATTTGAATAATAAGTATACTTATTTGTAAATTTTAAAATCTTCTCTCCGTACAAAAAATAAATTTAATTAAAATTAACTAAATTAATTAACTTATTGCAAAATTAATTATTTAATATTGTATTGTCATCAAGCAAGAGTATGTATGCAAAATATGAAAAAATCTATCATCAGGAAGTGAATCAAAAATTGATTGCAAAATTTGGTTTTGCGGCCGTGCAAATAGCCTTTTTAGAATGGAAACACAACGGCCGTGCGAATAGCCTTTTTAAAATTGAAACACAGCTGCGCGAATAGCCTTTTTAGAATTGGAACGTGTCGTGCGATTAGAATCGGCCTTAAAAATTATTGAATACAGAATGATCAAAAACCCAATAGACTTGTTCCGTTCGGTTTTTAATCATTAAAAATAAACCAACAAACGTTTTGAAGAATACGCTTATAGTACTTTTTTATTTATAATTTAGGAAGCAAATTGATTAGTCTCATTTACAATAACATCACAAATTTCATATGTGAAATGAATTTTAAACAAATCAAAAGGATCTTATTCTTGTTATACCTAGAAACACCGGTAAATGTAAAAGGTTAAACTCCATTACTTGGAGGTTCAGATGTCCATTTGGGTATGTATAAAGATTCAGAAAGCTCATTCTCGAAGGAATTGTCACTAGAACTTAGAGTATCGACTAATACAGGCAATATCTCTTTTATACCTAATTATAACAATTCTGTTTCTAAACTTTCTCCATCAAAAACATCAGATAAACTACATTCTTATTCTGAAACCACACTCAGCTCTTTGCTTTCATCAAATATAAAATTATTTACCTCTTCGTCAGTAAATATTCGCTTTTTAGATAATAATTTTTGCACTGAAATAACTTCCTTATCTGCCATATATAAAATTAAAGTAAACACATGTAAAAGTGAATTATTGAAACTAAAGCTCTGTTATTATGTAGTAATAAATTTTCTGACGATTAGACGTATAATTACTGATAAACCTTATCTGCCATATATAAAATTAAAGTAAACACATGTAAAAGTGAATTATTGAAACTAAAGCTCTGTTATTATGTAGTAATAAATTTTCTGACGAATAGACGTATAATTACTGATGAACAAGAAGAAAATATGAGGAGATGCATAAAACCGTAATATTATGGCAAGGACATTTGGGAAACACTTTCAGTTTGCATAATATTATAACATTGACATTTAGAAACAACTTCAAGTTTGCATAATAATACGGCATTGACTGTTAAAGGGCAAACACTATTAATTAAATTTTTTTCTTTAAGAAAATTTTTTTTTCTGAATATTAAATAAAATAATATTAAATGGCTTTATTATTTTTATAAATGAAATTTGTTTTTCAGTTCTTATTAAAATGGGCGTTATATAAGTAATTATAAATATATTTGACAATAAAAAAAACCGCTACCAACTTTAATTACAAATAATAATAATAAAAAATATACAATTAACATAAATACATGTTTTAAAACATTAATTTTAAAATTGATTTTTAAATGTAAAATGTATTTTATATTTATTTAGTTTTTACGATTCTAAAATATTTTGTTTCAGAACACTCGTAATGAGGAAATGTTTGTTACTAATAATAAAACTTTAAGAATATGATGGTGATATGGATGGTAATAGTAGAATAGAATAGGGCCTTCTTGAAGAGTTCTTGATAAAGGATGGGGGAGGGGGTTAATGTGTCTGTTTTTTGCCCTTTAAGGCTTTGAAAAAATATTTTACTAACCAAGATGTTAACAAACAAAAAAAGATCTTCGTTAGCTATTATTTGGCGACTCGAATATCCAAATTTTCTTAATAATTTTTAAACAAAATTTTCGTTGAGGAGTTGGGGGGGGGGGGGGTTACTTTCCCGATGCGTTTCTTCGAGACAGTTTTTATGATAATAATGACGATGATGATGGTATTGATGATAATAATGTTTATTGATGAATGTGCTAAAAGAAATATTCAATTAAATAAATGAAAAATAAAAATTAAATTTTCTCGTAAATTTAAATTTAGATTCATGAAGAAAATTGCGAATGTTTACCTCTTTGTTGCGTAAATCAATGTGGCATGAAAATTATGCGTAATGAGGTTTGATTTAAAATCGAAATAACTGTTTTATATAAAAAGTTTCTATTTTTACCCAAGTAAACATTTGACACGTTAAAAACTTCTTAAAAACGTCTAGTTTACGTCTAGACACCTTCAACACATCTTTAATACGTCTTTTGAACGTCATGTGTTTACTGAACATTAAATTCATTCGGGTAAAAATTTTATCTTTGAAACTTTTCATAGATGTCTTCTCATATTACTAATATTTGCGCTAATGAAATTCTACCATGTCAATATTTGAACATTGGATGCAAATTTAAGGTAAGAAAATAAGTTTTAAAAAATGAAAATCTTTTATACTTTAAAAATTAAAATTGTATAAAATTGTTAAATAATAATAAGCAAGAGTTCTGCTATACATCATGCTGTTTATTATTAGTATATCAATCAGTTATATATCATCTATAGATACTGATACCAAACCACAATATTAAAAAAAAAAATCAACTGACCAAGTTGATTTTTTTAAATAATAATAAGTTAAATTTTTTATTGAAAATTCGTTGTTCAAAAACTTTTTAAATTTCCAGTGATTAAGTTTTTAGAATGTATGTAACTAACTTTTTTACATACCTTAATAAAAGGTTTTAGTGATACTTTAAAATTTCTGTGAAAACATTATTTTATTTATTTTATTTAAAAATTTGCTAATGCAAGTTTTAAAAATTTTATGCCTACTTTACTAACACACAATTTGTTTTTACTCAATATTTTAACTTAAATTATAAAAATCAAATTAAAAGATATAGAAAAATTACTTTTAATAAAAAAAAACTTTACCTGTTCTAAAGAATTAGTATGTCAACGACAAAGTGAACACAAACAGCGCTTTCTTGTATAAAAAAAGTTAAAAATTAACAATCAAAAAATGATTGCTTTTCAAAATAAAAGTTAAACCAAAATCTTTGGACATTATATATACGGATATGGGCTATTGCTATAAAAACCAATAACCATCACTTATAACTTTCACTTTGATTTAGTAAGTTTTAATTAGACTCCATAACTAGAGGCATAAAAATAAGTGGAAATCGTCTACAAACATTATATTATTATGTTGCGCTTACTTTTAAGAAAATACACATGAAAATACACATTTAAAAAACACACAACACACAGTTTTCTTTCATACCATTTTTTTTGTTTATACTACAAAAACATATTGAAAAAATTCAGACTTTTTTTTCAGCTTGATGTCTTTTCTAGCATTAATAGAATTTGCAGTTTAGGACTGAAAAATTTATATTAAGTTTTGATTGGTAATTTTATGTTTCGACAACCAATAACCTTAATCACAGGTAAAAATAATAATAAAAATAAGCTGTAAGGTGTTGCCACTAAAACTTTTATTCTGAAGGAAAAAAATAATGTTCCCAATATTAAGTTCATATAAAGTAGAACTGGCTGTCCAAAGAAAAATGCCGTTTTATGATTTTCATGTTTTAACTTCTTTTAACTTTTTTTTAGGTTTATTTTGAATTTCATATCGGAAAGTGATCAGATATTAGTGTTTTAGTTATTCCACTTTTTAGCGAGATTTTAAATAAAAAATTTGTTAGTATATTATCAATTAAGTTAAGTGAATTTCTTGTAAATGAGAAAGGGGCAGCTTTGAACATGTGCAGGTTTGAAAAATGAATTTTAAAAGCGTTTATGATTTTAAACTTAGTTTATTAATATACCTGACTGGCATTTATTATTAAAAAGTTACGTTCTAAATGTCTTTTAAACGTTTTTTAAACGTCTATTAAACGTTCATTAGGTAAGATTGTTTAGAAGACTTTTATAAGACATTTAAAATACATTTAGAACGTAACTTTTAAAAACAAATGCCCGAAATCGATTTCTGAATTGTGATTTTTTCCCCATCTACGTGAGTTCATATTTTTAAAAATTCCCTACTTCTTTTTATTTATTATGACCCCTCCCTGTTTACTTTGCACAAAAGAAATTTATGTCTGAGTGAAACTTTTCTTATTATGTATATAAAAAGCACTTACTAAATTTGGGTCATTATCTTTTCTATAAAAGTATTTATAAATTTAAATTAAACTGAAATTAAACCTATATCTCATTCTTGAAATTCACCGTGTACACTACTAAAAATAATGAAAACAATTTTAATATTCAAAACTAATTTTTAAATGATTCTTATAATCTTAATAATACTATTCTCTGAACACAGAGAATAGTAATATTAAGGTTAGTACATGGTACAGTCAAGTTTCTATTTATTGAGTATAAACTAAATTCAGAATATATGCTGATGCTCTACCTCCACAGTTTAAAGGTTGAAAGAGTATCTGTCTGGAAATTATTTCTTTAAAGCATATGAACCACGTTAAGGCTCACTCCTATTCATGTGTATATTTTTTTATGCATTACGATTGAAGGCATATGACATAAAAATATACCATCAATTAGCAAACTGCTTTTGTATGCACATTTTTATTCCTAGATTACATTTAAAATAGAATGTATTATGGCAATGTGTAGTTGTGGATCAAGACTTTTGAAGGCGCAGGGCTGTTTTAGAGCAGGAGGGCTCTTTCCATGATTAATCAAAAAATTTATTTTTTGTTTAATCATGTTATTAATTTAAAAATATATTTATCTATAAACCGAAGCCTAAAAAACTATGGAAACTAGGGCTATAGCACTGGCAATGTAACTCCATAAGGAAATAGACAAATATTTTTAAAACTTAAAAAATTTAAAATATATATATACCTACTGAGCACAACCCACAGATAAATAACAGATTTAGTCAATGCAATTTTCAAAATGTTATTCGAAGAAAATTTTTACTGACCACTCCTTATTATACCATTAAATTTTGGATGTTGGAATAAAACGACGCATTAACATACGATTCTATTGAGGTAAAAACCCGTAAAACACGAACTAACAAATACTTTTAAACAATAGCTAGCAATACCAAACTATGGCAGTTACCAGATTAGATCTAAAATAAATTTAAATATTACAAACAAAACTTTACTTAATTGAAATTTTATTAACGTATGTATTTTACGAAATGTTTTATGAAATTTTATTCCGTATTATGTAATACGATATTTTATTGAAACTTTTTTAAAGAGGCTCTATGAAAAGATTGCGATAACGTACTGTCATCCTCATCTTCTTCGAGCCCCTATCTGTTTTTACTTACTTTTTTTTTTTTTTTTATGAAGCACGTTGTAAAATTCTTATGTTATAAAACAGAAAAGAAAAAAAAAAAAAAAAAAAAAGATAACTCTCAGGTAACACATTATGAATAATTAAACCAATAAAAAAAAAACACAACTCTTAGATTTTAGAACCTCTAAAATTTGGCTCCAACCTTTAACGGTATAATATATATAAAGTAAGGCTGAATAATAAAAAATATAAATAACTGAAAGTTACTGCTAGGTACCCAGTGGGCACGCGGACGGCTTTAGGACGTCTTTAAGACGTCCCGATCGGACGTCTTAAGTTGGTTGGATTTGGAAATACAGAAAGACGTCCTGCGTGGAACGTTTTAAAGACGTCCCAGAAGGAACGTGAAAAAGACGTTCTGAGAGGAACGTAAAAAAGACGCCTTACGAGGAACATAAAAAAGACGTCCCGATAGGACTAAGAAATTTAGTTTAGTTTAAGTTACAGTTTAGAAATAATAAAAAAACATTAGGTATGGAATGCCATAAATAGGTCTTATTTGGTGCGTATTTTTTTATACGTTAATTTTTAGACTTATTAATTTCAAATACCATTAGAAAAATAAGAATTCAACACAAAAATTAGTATAGTGAAATTTATTTACTTAGAGGTTTTACATTTAAATCTTTAAAATGATTTGTTAATATAATCCATTTATGGATTGATCCAGAAAAAAAAGTTTTAAGTTTCTTGAATATTGCTTAAAAAGTTAACAGCTTCAGTGCACAAAAGTGCTGCATTACTGAAAACAAGGTTTAGTAAATGGCTTCCACAAGAAGAAAAAAAAGCTTGTGGGTTAATGGTCAAGGATTCGTTTTTGTGCGTTTAAATTCTTTTACTTCATGTTTGATCCGTTATCATATCTTTGGCCACACACTTTTTCTAATGGTATTATTTTTTTGAAAGCTCTTCTAATTAGCAACTGTAAAACTTTTTGTATGGTGGAATTAGACTTATACCTAAAAAAAAAATGATATAAAGTTAGGCTTTTGCACATAGGTTAGTTAGCATGTCAGCAATGACCAAAAAATAACCCCGTGATTTTGAAAACAAGAAATTCTATTTCGGCCTATTTTTCAAATAAAAATTTGGGCAAAATGACCATGTTTTGCCAAAATTATAAGTTTTATATATCATTTAAAATATAATTTAATTCTGAGTAAAAGGGTTCCTTACGCAAAGTTTAAAAAATGTTATTGTCGCCTAAAGTGGAAATTATGACGTCATCGCCTTTGAAAAAATAATCTCTTTGAAATCGTAAGCATAATATACCGTTTGAAATAGAATTTAATGCTAATTTAATTATTGTCTTTACTCAAAATTTTAAAATATTGGTGCTGGGGCTAAGTGGGGAGAGCTACAGTGCTAGGCCCTATACAATTAAAGACTAGGAACTTTTTTAGTGGACCTTTTTTTCGACACTTTTTTTTGACATTAGTTCAACTTTGCCATTATAAGTTTTTATCATTAATAAATTCAATTTCCATATAACAACACACAATAAAAACATTTCCGTTATTATGATAATGTTTTGATATTTGTTCCAATAGCCTCTGAATTTTCACAACTAGCATTGTCTTTTTCAATTTCTAAAAAGGCCCCACTTGGCAACGAGTGAAGGTAAGTATCTTCGTATTCAAAAGGATTTTTTGTTTTGAATCAGTCATTAAACTTTTGGAAATATATAAAACTTTTAGAAAGATATAAAAATTTTTTTTAAAATTTTCTAAAGAATTATCTAAAGTAAATGAATGGTTTATAAGTAATCGCCTTTCACTAAATGTAGATAAAACTAAATTCATCCTTTTTCACAAACCAAATAAAGTAGATAATATTCCACTTAAACTGCCAAACCTTTTATTCAATAAAACAGATGTAAAAAGGGAATCTACTTTTAACTTTTTAGGCGTAATTCTTTATGAAACCTTGTCATGGAAGTTTCACATCCAATCTATTGAAAGTAAAATCTCTAATAATATTTCCGTACTTTATAAAACAAAACCATTTTTTAAGGCAGAAGCTCTGATGAAAATTTATTTTTTCATTTATTCACAGCTATC